TCTGAGTCAAGAGTTCCTGATTTAAAGATCCTTCTCTTAAGTAGCCCAGCATGTGTTTCTCCCATTCCGTAGCTGGGGCAGCCTGTTGAGGCTGCTCTGAACCACTTGCAAGAGGAAAGTGGTGGCTGCAGTTAGTGACCGAGCCTTTGGTTCCCAGATGCCAGCTGGCTCATGCAGGCAAGAGCGTCTTACTTCAGGGTCTCGGCAACACCGGGGGGCTAGCCGTCTTGCCTCCACTGGACAGAGGGCTGGGGGTTAGATTAGGACTCTCCTTATTCCCCTGTCCTTGGGTCTCATTTGTGGCAGAGGCTGGAGAATTGTGGCTCTTCCCTGCCAGCCCTGGCCTCCAGGCATGCACACAACTCTGCTCAGTTCTCCTGTGGGGGCGCTGTGCTGAGCACTGTTGGGAACGTGGATGTGCAGGCCCTGCAGCTGCTGCCTGGAGAAGCCGGCCGAGGGCTCGTGGGGAAAACACGGCTGATTCCAGGGAGGGGAATCGGAAGACAACAACTGGGTGATGGAGCAGACTTTTGAGTGGGACTTGACCGATGGCAGGACTTGGACCAGCAGAAATAGAGTGACAGTCTTGCCGAGCAAAGGCCCAGTAGCAGGAAGACACTGGGCACATTGGAGACTCACGGCCTGGGGCTGCTGGACTATAGGTTTTGAGAGTGGTGTCTTCAGAGACGGGGTTGAAAACGGTGGCTGGAACCAGATCATGGGGCCACTGGACTTTGTCCTCTCTGAAATGATGAGCCCCTGAGAGTTGAACAAGAGCAGGTGTGGTCAGGGCTGAATGTAGGGAGATGACGCTGGCACCAGCTGGCTCTGGGCCAGGAGGGAGAGGACAGGGACAAAGGGATCAGGGCAAATTCCCCAGGGGACAGTCTTTTGCCTACCTATTCCTCTTACTTTAGATATCATTGCCTCCGTAAAGCCCCCTGTGTCCCCACGCCTGTCCTGCCCCGGGCAGGGTTAGGAGCCCTTGCCCTATGCCCCGTTTCCCCTTCAGGACTGCAAGAACTATGTTTTTGTGGTTTTGAGGCACCAAGTTACAGCAGTCACAGGACACCAGTACAGAGAGCAAGGAAGGAGTCGGAGACTGTTGGAAGTCTGGAGCTGGAGCAACTGGAGGCGGGTGATGCACGTAACCTGCGCGGGGGGAAAGGCAGCTGTGTTGAGCTTCAGACTCCGTGTTCAATTCAGAGTGCCACCGGGACACTGTTAAAGCCGTGGCCAGGCAGTGCTGGCAGTGCCCTGGGAACAAGAGCTGCCTGTGTCCACAAGACTGGCAGGATTGCCATGGGGCCTTTGGTGACATCTAAACTCAGCAACCCAAGAAGAAAGACAGACACGAGCAGCCCCATTTGCACCCTCCCAGGTCTGCCTCAGACTTTATTCCCAGTGACCAGTTGGAAGATTTCATCAGAAACCAAAGAACTGTGCTTTCTTTCCTTTCTTTTTTTTTTAAGAAATGCATTTGGCTGCAGCAGTTGGTGTCCCTGCCTCCTGTAATGAGTTGGGCTGGGAGAGTCCTTGAACAGAGACTGAGTTTGAACTGATCAATGGCATTTGGGGGTTGGAAAATTGCTCAGGAGCCAGCTAATTTATAATGTCATATGGGCTAGACGAGAAGACTCGGGAGGATAGGCTGTCTCTTGGCTTTTTAGTTCTCTTTTTGAAAAAGAGAAGAGAAAGCAAGGTGCCACGCTTGGCTGTTCAGCCTTCAGAGATGAACTCTGTCCCCACTGGACCATTGGGACACTGGGGTCATTTCTTCCCCTGCGTCCCCTTTCTTCCAAAGACCTCTCGGCCACACCGTGGGTTGGCAGCACGTGCCGCCGCTCCGTATCCTCTGTCCTTTCCCCCTCCGGATGCCGGCCCTGCAGTGCCGAGCCTGGCTCTAACTAATCTGCAGAGGACACCTGTTCCTTAATTAGCCCCAGCTTGTGCTGCGTCTCTTGGTCTGGGCTCCCTCTGATGCATGAGCGAGCGGCCCCGTGCAAGAGCTGCTGTTTGGCGGTCTGCGAGCGTTTGCACCACCCTGCACCTTCCTGGGTGGTGCGGTCGATCTGTGCTCCTGAGCATTAAAAGAAAAAGAAACCACATCCCAGCTGCCGTCCAGACATGGATGTCACGGCTATTGGCCAGATCTTCCAAAAGAGCCTTTTCCCACCAATTCCTGCTCTGAGGATAGACCTGCTGTCCCTAGCACTGGATGTGAGAGTGCCAAGTGGACGTGGACCCTCATTCTGAGCCCCCCTAGACTCATATTCCCCATCACTCAGTTGGCACCTTGTATACACTTCTCACTCTACCTTTTTGAGATGTGTCCGTATGCTTGGTCTCTTTAAAGAGAAGAGAGATGCCATCAGCGAGTGGGGATCCCATCCTACAGGATTTTATGGAACGGGGCCTCATGTGTAATAGGATCTTAATAAACATGTGCCAAGGAAGAGGATGAAGATGGATTCAGCATCTGAGAAAGGGTTCCTGGAGGAAAGGACCCGTGCAGACTGTAGTAGCAGAATTCCCTGCCTGCCTTTCGGGCTGGTTCTGCTATCTCCCTGTTTCCACATAGTGGAACATTTTAAAAACCAGTCTTTAGGCTTCAGAGATCTGACCTCCCACATAAGCCACCCCCAAGAAAATTTCCAGCACCCACAGAGTTGGAGTACCGTGTTTTCCGTGAGACTCATCTCAGGTCGGAGGTGAAACGCCTCAACACCAGGCCCCCGGGCACACCAGGAGTCCAGTTTTCAGCAGGCCACGGTTGTTTGGAAACATTTGCGGCAAGTGGCTTTGTGTTTATTCTTCCGCATGACATCTCCCTCTGCCATCCTTCAAAAGAGAAATTCATCAGTGGAAAGTTTCCCTGAAGTGGTAATTTTCCTAAATGACTTGCTGGTGGTGCTGCATACAGACTTTCCCTCAAAGAGTTGGTGATTCTGTACCTTACTGTGTCCCCGGCCCCTCTCCCTGGGCCTGAGGGGGGCCAGCGAGGGCTGCCCGTTTCTTTTGCCAGGAGAGTCCCTTTCCTGTGCCTCCCCAGCCACCCCTAAGCCTGATGGAAATGCTTCTCCTCCCCCCTCTCCTGAATGGAAGCAGGGCTGATTCTAGGCCCCCAGCAGAAAGCTCTTCCTTCCAGAAGTCTCCCAGGCCTGGTGACTGCCAAGAGGCCTTATTCACCCCAGCTAATTAGAGCCTTTTCCTTAAGCGGCACTTTAGTCTTTCATGTCATTCGTTCTCACAGTGATAATGGACTTGGATAAGAGGTCACAGCTTCTCCCACATCCTGCTCTCCTTGCGGATGGGGGCGGGGGAGGTCCCGCCTGCCTGTCATGGGGGAGCCAGGGAGCCAGGGACTGGCCGCCAGGCTGAGCAGCTGTGATGTATTCACCCAGATCACAGGGCCAGGCCCAACTCCCCAAAGTGGGCCCCGCTCCCCACACTCGGGCTTCCACGAGCGTCTGCTCATCTCTGGTGAGTGTCATTAGCATTAACGTGATAAAATGGCACAGTGGAAATGTTAATAAGGTCTGATGCCTCTGCTGCTGCCGAGTGGCAGATTGGAAATCGTACCATCATTGTAACTCCAACCAGCAGCTTTTAATTCCTCTGCTCCCTGAGCAGCCGATTTGGCATGGAAATCCTAACCTTCCCCAGCTCCCAGCCCCCGTCTCTGCTGTGCCACGTTTACCCCCAAAGAGGGTTCAAATTTCCCAGAGATCAGTTTTCTAAGATGGGGTTTGAACTCCTTTTTTTTAAAGTATTTTTTTGAGGTCATATTGGCTTATAACATTGTGTAAACTTCAGGTGTACATTATTATATATCAGTTTCCGTATAGACTGCATCGTGCTCACCACCAATTGTCTAGTTTTTATCCATCATACACATGTGCCCCTTTATCCCTTTCACCCTCCCCCCCACCCCCTTCCCTACTGGTAACCACTAATCTGTTCTCTTTTTTTTTTTAATAGTTTTTTTGTTTGTTTTTTTGGGTTTTTTAAGGTGAGGAAGATTGTCCCTGAGCTAACATCCGTGCCCATCTTCCTCATTTTGTATGTGGGATGCCGCCACAGTATGGCTTGATGAGCGGTGCATAGGTCCACGCCCAGGATCTGAACCTGCGAACCCCGGGCCGCCCACAGCAGAGCATGTGAACTTAACCACTACACCACCAGGCTGGCCCCCTCTCCTTTTTTTTTTTTTTTTTAAGTAAACATTCGCTTTCCCCTGTTCTCCAAAGAGGAAGAGAACCCAGGGGACCAATGCCAGCAGGCACCCACTTCTCTGGCTGGACCTCTCCCCCACCCCCAAACTTCTCCACTCCCAGTTTTCCTGGATGTGCCCCCTTCTCTTGGTCCTGGATACTTCTCTGAGAGGTTTGCACTGGAAGCCACTGGCTTTGGTTCTCCGGGCTTCCCTTCTCTTTAGGTTAAAAACATTTCTGATTAATGACCTCCTGATTAATGCTTCCCTCTGAACGCTTCAGAACCTCTCCCTTGTGCTGCATTGTCAGGGTGCCCGCATCCCCTCCTCCCTGTGTCTTTTCTTCCCGGTAAATCGTGAGGGCCCAAGGTGTGCCTGGTTTTTCTTTCAGATCCTTATCTTCCTGCCCTCTCTCACCCATTCCATGCTCGTGCCCAGCTCAGTGCCCACCCTTGCATCCTCAGTCAGTGCTTGCTGAAGAGAAGAGAAGCAAGTGGGCAGTGTCCCTAGGATGTGGCCTGGGTCTGGCCTAGAAAGTAGGCTCAGGACAGTAGGTGTGAGGAAGGGCAGAGAAGCACAGCTCTGGATTTCTTTTGCACCCCAGGCTGTGAGAACTGAGCAGGTGATGCCGTTTGACCCCAGGGAGCCTCTGCTGGTTCAGATGCATAACTGGGTTAGGACCAGCATGGCCAGGGGCTGCGTGAACAGTGTGTCCTCCCCATACACATGCTGTGCCTCATGCAGCCCATCCTCTGCATCCCCCCTTACTCTTATTTTCGTCACCCAGGCTGTCTTTACTCTCCTCCTTGGACCCTTCACCTTCTTTGACGTCCAGAAGACCAAGTACCTGCAGATCCTGACCTCCCTGATGAGATGGATAGGTGAGTCTGAGAAACATCTCGTGTCTCTGCCCTTTCTCCCCTCGTCCCTTCCTTAATCTTTCCTGAGATGGCTGTACAAGGAGGCAGGTGCTCTGCCTACCTTTCTACTGGTGGGGAAATTTAGTATCAAAAACAATAGTGACTTGAGGTCACATAGTGTGGATGGAGCTGGGGCTGGGCAGGGACTGCTGATTCCAGAGCCAGCCTTTTTCACACACCTGCACTGGGTCCCTACCGGCGCACAGGCTGGGCCTGGGCTCTTGAGGGTCTGGGTCAGGCTCTGCCCACTTCAGGGCACATGAGCAGCGTCATTCTGCCTTTTCATAGGTACACTGTGCATAAAACCTAAAAACCCAGCAGGCCATGGCAGCCACCTCTGCGTTCCTGGCCACCAAGCTGTGAAAAGGCACCCCATCCACAGTGCCTTCTAACTGACTGATGCCCCGCTAAGCAAGAGCACCACTGTCCTCAGGGAGTTTGGAGGGAACTCCTTCATTCTACCACACCATCCCACCTGGAAGGGCCTGGCTGCTGACCCACCTGGACCCAGGACGGGAGGGTGTGGGGTCCCTGCCACCCCTGTCAGCCAGCACATGCTCTGGGATCAGTTGCCCGCTTGTTTTGGTCTACAAGCAAAGAGCACTGTTGCTGTTCTGGTTGAGGGGCCTGGCAGAGTGGGTCTGCCCAGCCTCCAGGACCCTCCAGGGCTGCTCCCCACGACCTCACCTGCCCCTTGGCACACAGGTCCCAGAGGAACCCAAGGTTAGAACTCCTCCTCCCTGTTGCTGCTCCCCAGTTCCCTTTCCCACTGCATTCACTCCTCATCGGGACTCGGGGTGCATGCTGCTCCTCATTCTATGCCAGCACTCAGCACTGGATCACGAAGAGCTCAGGACAGTTTCTGATCCAAATGATTTCTGGCAATTTTGGCGCCTCCAGTCCCCCCTTCCCTGCACTCAGGCTTCCAAGATCCCAGCATAAGGTGACACCACATCACGGAAGTCCTGGCATCTTCAGTTGGAAGGGACCGGGGCAGTCACCCGGCCCAGCCCCTGGCCCTGCAGGGGTAGGCTCTGCAGCATGTGGATGGGACGGCTTTCACCCAGGAGCTCACAACCGGGGAATTCTCCCACTCTGAGGGGATGTTTGTCAGTGCTGGGAAGTTCTGCCTTGTCTTGAGCCAAACTTGCCAGCTTGTAACTTCTTCCCACTCTTGGTCCTTCCTTGCAAGGGAATGAGCAGCACTGAGTTGTCTGGTGTGTGCACTTTGGGGCTTAGCAACTTGATGAGCCTGTCCTTCATCATCCAGCTGAGACAAGGGAGCGGGAGGCCACCTGTCCCATACCTGGATGGGGCAGGATTTCTTATCTACCCCATTCAGTTGGTCTGATCCTATGCTCACCTGCAGGGTGCTGTTCTCAGATTTCATTCACAAACTCCAAAGCCCTGGGTTAAATTAACGTAACTACCTTGGAAAAAATGAGACCTTGTCATAGAATATGAGGATCGCATAGCTCCAAGGATAGGGTGTTGGGATGGAGCCTCCTTAGGTGCCGGGAGGGATTGTTTCCAAACATTGGGATCAGCAAGGATCAGAATCACTGACCGTCCAACCTTTTCCTGCTTCTAAGAAGTATTTGAAAGACCTAGTGATCTTCAGAAGGAGTTTTCCCGGTAAAGCGGTATTTGGAGGAAAATGTTCTTCCTCGCTTCCCTGGGCCAACTCTGTTGTCCCAGCTCCTCTTCTCCCTGCAGCCAGGTCCCAAAGTCCTGAAAGTCCGGCCCCGCCCCACTCGGGATTGGCCATCCTTGGCCTGCTGCATCAACAGTGAGAAGGGGCTCCTGTTCCCTTTCCCTCGTGTGGAGGGTAGGAGCAGGGTGGGGGGACGCCCGTGCGTTAGCTGGCGTGATGCATTCCCATGTCAGCCCGCGAGGGGACGGCCGCCCGGATAATGACAGTTAATAGCTTCCGTAGCACTCCGGTGCCTATTGAGCGTGACAAAGTCCTCTCTCTGTCTGGTGAGCAATATATTCGTTGAAAGGGGGAAGATAGGGAGGAGGGGAGGCTGACGGTCAGTGAAGAGCGATTGCCTTGGTACAGCACACGAGGCGCCCCCAGACTCGGGCAGACTCAGCTCCCACCTGCAGAGGAGGCACTTTGCAGCTTCCATTGCTGGCAGGCCCTGGGGGCCTCCAAGATGTCCCAGAACGGCCCTTACCTCCTTTCCGTTCTGCTGCTGGAGTCCTCCGCTCCCCATGAACGAGGCTCACAGAGTGAAATTGGCGGCTCAGTTGCTTTAGAAAATCCATTGCTCTTTCCCACGGCGGCAGGCTGCCCCAGCCCCTCATGACCCTGTTCTGCCTCTCCTTCTCCCAACCAGAGCCCCCTCCCATGGAGCAGCAAGGTGGCTGCTAGTTAGCCCCAGGGACTGCAGTGGGAATCATCCTGGTCTCCCACCCGGAGGCAGCCCTTTGGTGCGGCCAAGCGAGGCGGCAGTGGCCTTGAGAGAGTTGCTTGGCAGCAGAGAAGTCAGGAGGTAGAGACCAGCCGTGAAGGTCATCCACACTCGTGTTTGGTGGTGACATTGTCGTCTTGTCATCATTGTCTCTGCAAGCCTCTGCAAGCCGTTTACCTCTTTCCTCTCTTTGATCTGGGAGATAATCAAATGGCGGTAGCCTCTCCGAGAACCTTTTCTCCAGAGTGCCACTGTGTGACACTGGTGACAGCACAGGCAGTCATTTTTCTCCGTGAAAGACTCAGACCTCTGGGCTTGAAAAGTAAATCTCTCTGTGACACAAAGCCCTCACAAGTGAAAGAAAAATTGCACAGTAAACTCTAAGATGTAGCCGAGCCGAGGGATCAATTCCCAGCCAGGAGCAGTGGAGCCACCTGGGCATCTTTCTTCATGGATCTGGTGGAAGGCGTTTCCCTCATGCTGACCCCAGGTAGCAGCATGGTCTCAGGAAGAAGGAAGGGAACGGAGGTCGTGGGATTCCCGGGAGCCGCCACGCACCACCAAAGAGGCAGCCCTGCTATGGGAGGGACCAAGCTCTGACCCCTGGCTGTTTCCAGGCCGTCCGACGGGGTCTCTCCTCTGGCCCAAGCTGACCCCAAATGATTTTTCTAGAACTCCTCCAAAGACAGTGAGCACCAAAGCCCGTTTGTCCTCTCAAGTCTGCGCCAAGTTGTCAGTTTGCAGCACACTCCCTTTTCATTTTGCTTCGGAAAAGCAGTTGTACGGCCGTGTCCCCCGTGGCCCTTCCTCCCTCCCCGCACTCCTGCACACCCTGCCTCTCCCGTCTCCCCAGATGAGGGACCACACTGTCCAAGAGAGCTGAGTGGGGAGCTCGGGGTGGCAATAAGCTGGCTTGGGTTCTAGAAAGACAAAAGGGAAGAATGAGCACCAAAGGGACTGGAAAATCATAAATAAATGTGCTGAGCTGGAAACTTTCTTGTGCTTAATGAGGAATTTGTTCTGCCATCTGTTGAAATGAGGCCGAGGAGGACTGCAGGAGCCCGGCCCTGAGCAGGCCCCGAGCTCAGACGAGCTGAGAAGCCTTCAGGCCGGGTCGTCGGGGGCTTTCGCTGTGCGCTCCTCCAGTTCATTAGCCCCAGAAGCCCCTCATGCTGCCAGAACAAGATTTAAAGGGTTGGATGGCCTTTGCAAATAGCCACTTGTCCAGGAAAATGTCAGAACATGTATGACAGGTGCCAACACTGATTGATTTCTTTTGCTCCCCAAATAAGTTCTGAGGAGACCAGGCTGGTCAGTTTGGGAGACCCGGATTGCAAATGCCTCTGAATTCACATGTGCAAGGACGGCCTCCAGCTGCCATCCCAGCGTGTGAGACTGTTGTTCCGGCCTTAGCAGACTTCCTGACCAGGCCCCTGTGCCGTCCAGTCGCTTGCCCCAGGGCAGCTGCTTTAGATCAGCCGGCCGCAGGGTCTGGAGCCCACAGCTTCGGCTCTGGCCCAGGTGCTACCCCTGCTGGCTGCTCACACCATCCTACATCCTCCCATTGTTCCCTTCAGTGCGGGTCAAGTGGTGTGCACTCCCAAGGTGCCCCCACAGGCCAAGCCTGCCTCAGGCAGGCTCCTTGTCTGGCAGTGGCAAAGGCTAGACTGCCCTCATGGAGCAGCCGTGAGGATAAAATAGGATCGTGTAGAAAGTGCTGTTAGCACAGTGCCTGGCACTGGGTCAGCATTCAGATATCAGCCGCAACCTGCATCCCCGCCATCATCATCTCTGTCAGCTGATGCATCCCGGGAGTAGCGTCAGAGTGCGCCTCCCTTGGGGCTGGCCAAAAGATCAGGGACGTGGCTGAAGCCACCTCCAGGAGGAGCTGTGGCGCTGGATGTCCCCCCGTGAGGTCTTGAAGCGTCTGTGGTTGGCAGCCTCCTCTCTGCCCCATCTCAGCACTGGTCCCCAGTGCACACCGGGTGGGGAGCCTTCCCTACAGCCCTGCAGCCTCCACCCCCACCGCCTTCGAGGAAGCTTGAGCCTGAGACGAATGAGCAGCAGACCCACCTCACAGAGAGGCCAGGGCTTCCTCTTTAGCTCCTAGCTGTCTCTCTGCCAGTGGTCGGTAGACCAGGGACACTTAGGAGAGATGCAGCCAAAAGTGCTGTCCTTTGTGCCACAGGTCCAGCAGCTGTGGCCTCAGAGTCCGAGCCCTAAGCCGCTAAACCGATGACCGTAGACTGTTCGCACCTGGGCTGCCTGGCAGGGCACTCTTGGGCTGGAAGGGGCCATGGCAGCATCATTACTTCACTCCCATTACCAACTTCCCCCGGCAGACGCCTCCCACTTGGGAACACGAACAGCTGGCTCAGCTGAGGGCACCCCATTTGGTGTTATTAAAAAACCGATTCTTTCTAATAAAGACTGCTCTGGAGCGCAGCAGCCCTCCTCAGTCTGGGTTGTCGAGAGCCCACAGGCCTCCCTTTGCTCTGATTGTATATTCAGAGCAGCCACTGCGCACATTATTCCGGTCTCTGT